AGTGCTGCCAAAACAAGTGAAACTCACAAGAACGTTGTATCTATGGTGACCACTACCTTGTTTACCTCTGGCTATAAAATAAAGGCTCAGCTTGCTGTTTGCATCTCTCTCTGTGGCCTTAGCCAGGCACAGGAAGATCCACCTAGACCCAGCTTATTCTCTTTGTCTGTCATTTCTACATCCTTCACCACCCCCCTCAGACTCCCCAAACCCTTGGCTGAGCTGACTCAGCACATGTGGCACCCAACGTGGGGCCTGAGTTCAGGGGAACTGCAGTTGTAAGGTGAAAGGACGCTCCAGTGAAGCACAGACAGAAACTGTTAAGTCCAATCAAAGTTGCAATATACTTTCACCTCTCTTCTGATATCTTGAAGTCTAGCAAGTACTTCTTATCAAGAATCTCCTCTCATCTGTAAAGGCAAAGCACCCGCAAGAACCGCCGTGGGCTGTCTTTAATCTTTGATACTTTAATTATGTGTCTTGGTGTGGGCCTCTTTATATCTTTTTTTTTTTAATTTCTCACCTGAGAAGTTGTTTTTATTGGTTTTAGAGAGGGAGATGAAGAGAGAGGGGGGAGAGATAGATCAATGTGAGAGAGAAATATTGATTGGTTGCCTCCTGTGTGTGCCCTGACTGGGGATTGAACCTGCAACCTAGGTATGTGCCCTGACCAGGAATTAAATCCACAATCTTTTGGTGTAAGGAACAATGCTCCAACCATCTGAGGCACATGACCAGGCCTGGGTTCATCTTGGTTGGGACTTCCTGAATATGTGTAACTTTTTCCTTCACCAGGTTAGTTTTTAGTCATTATTTTTTCAAACAAGTTCTCTATCCCTTGTTCACCCTCTTCTCCTTCTGGTATCCCTATGATGTGGATGTTGTTATGCCTGATGTTGTACCAGAAGTCCCTTAAACTTTCCTAATTTTTAATTTTTTTTCTTTCCTGAGGGTTTTTTCCTCCTTTGCTTTTCAGAGAGAGTGGAAGGGAGAGAAGGAGGTGGAGAGAAAGAAATAGAGAAAGAAAGAGAGAGAAACATTGATGTGAGAGAGATACATCTACTGGTTGCCTCCCATACATGACCTGACCAGGGGCGGGAGTAAAGCTACAACCCAGGTATGTGCCCTTGACTAGGAATAGAACCTAAAACCCTTTGGTGCAGGGGCCGATGCTCTAACCACTCAGCAACACTGGCCATGGCAGACTTTCCTCATTTTAAAAAATTCTCGTTTCTTTTTGATGCTCTGCTTGGGTGCTTAGGATTATCTTGTCCTCTGAAGTGCTGATTCAATCCTCTGCTTCATCTAACCTGCTGTTGATTCCTTCTAGTGTATTTTTCATTTCAGATAGTGTATTTTTCATTCCTGATTGGTTCTTTTTTATGATTTCTTTTTCTTCTTCTTTTTCTTCTATGTCCTTTTTAATGCTTATTATCTCTTTGTTTAAGCTCTCACTGAGATCATTCATTCATCCTCTCAGGTTCTTCTTCTTTTTTTTTTTTTTTCATGGAGAACTAACGATTTACTTCATAGAAATACATCTACACAAGTTATGCATACAGCACAGAACTATAAACAAGGTGAAGCAAACATTATTTATTTTCAGGTAGCCTGATGGATTATTACAGATTTGAGAAATCAGCACATAGAACTACTGGACAAAGCATTGCTTACAGGTGTTTTTATCTGTGTGGAGTCAAAGGTTGAACTGTTTGTCCAGAGCTATCGCTGGGAGAGCCCTCAGGTTCTTGAACATCCTTATAACCATAGTTTTAAACTCTGCACCTGGTATTTTGATGGCTTCCACTTTGTTTTATTATTTTTCTGGGGATTTCTCTTATTTTTTATTTGGGGCATATTTTTTTGTCTCCCCATTTTGTCTCCTTTTTTTGTGCTTGTCTCTGTATTAGGTAGATCTTCTATGATTCCCAAGCTTGTTATGAGGGCTTTCTGATGTAGGTGCCTTATGGGTCTCAGGGGCAGAATCTTCTAGATTACCTGAACTAGGTGCTCAAGAAATAATTCTTGTGTGGGTTATGTGCTCTCTCCTATTGTAGTTGAGTCTTAAATGCTGTTGGCACATTCATGAGTAGAGCTAATTCTCAAGCTGGCTGATTATAAGGATAGACCTCATTCACTGTGTATGAGTTGCTATTCAGGAGCTGCCTCTGAAGCAGAGCTGTTTCTAGCAGGGTATGGTGTTTGCTGAAGTCCCCCTTTGGCAATGCCATTTGTGTGGGCCAAGCTATTGTGTGGTTTGAAGCCTACCAGTGGTTATGTTGGTTCGGGGCCTCCTTGGCCTGGGTTCTGGTGCGGGTCAATGTCAAATGTTGTGAATAATTGGCCTTGGGTTACCTGTCTGGAGCTACCATACTATTCACTGTTTCCTCTGTGTCTGCCAATAGTCTTTTCTGCCAGACTCAAGCTTGGTAGGGTGCTGTCACTAGTATTTGGAATGCCACGTTAGTGCCCTCCCCAACTGGTGCTGTAAGAACAGGAATGCCTGACCCTGAGAGATGGAGCAGTGTGGTATGTTGACTCAGGACCAGAACCTCAGTAGCCGACTTGCCAGAGCTCTCCCAGAGCCACACCACCCAGATCCTCTTTGTATACCTCTGCATGCCCTGAGTCACCTCCCCTCTAACAGAGCCAAAGGTAAGTCTCCAAGAGTGAGCTCCTGTGGGGTGGCCCCTTAGAAGAGCACCTAGGATGCTAGCGGACTCCCTCCTCTTTCCAGCTGACAGAGTCCCTGTTCATCTTTGCTGCCAAATGCTATGCAGACTCCTCTTCCTGGCCCTGCTGCTCTGGTTTGGGGTTCCTGGCATGGGGTTGAGACCCCACACTTCTTAGGAGGGACTTTTACAGCTGACATATCCCCTGGCTTCTTAGCCACTGTACCTGGGTGCTGGGGCCAGCCCTCTCCATGTATCTGCCCTTCTTACCAGTCTCTACGTAGCTTCTTTTATATATACTTGGATGTAATACTCCTATTCAATGGTCCTTCAGTTGGTCATTCCGGTTGATTGCTTTATAATTTAACTGTAAATCCGGTATGGTGCCAGGAGGAGGTGTGTGTAGCTGCCACTTACTTTGCATCTGTTTTGGATCGCCCCAGATAATGGTTTCAAACCCAGTATTCTTTTTTAATTATATCATAGCAATGCTAGCATGATGAAGGCAGAAAAAAAATTTAAGAAGGAAAATTTGAGATCCACAGTAAAGCTAGAATTAGTAGGACTTTGATTCAACAGCTTTATTTATTTATTTTATTTTTTTAAATTAAATCTCTATTGTTCAGATTATTACAGTTGTTCCTCTTTTTTCCCCCTATAGCTCCCCTCCACCCGGTTCCCCTCCCACCCTGCTCCCTTACCGCCCCCCCCCCCGTTCTCATTCATAGGTGCACGATTTTTATCCAGTCTCTTCCCGCATCTCCCACACTCCTTTTCCCCCCAAGAATAGTCAGTCCACTCCCTTTCTATGCCCCTGATTCTATTATAATCACCAGTTTATTCTGCTCATCAGATTATTTATTCACTTGATTTTTAGATTCACTTGTTGATAGATGTGTATTTGTTGTTCATAATTTGTATCTTTACCTTTTTCTTCTTCTTCCTCTTCTTAAAGGATACCTTTCAGCATTTCATATAATCCTGGTTTGGTGGTGATGAACTCCTTTAGCTTTTTCTTATCTGTGAAGCTCTTTATCTGACCTTCAATTCTGAATGATAGCTTTGCTGGATAAAGTAATCTTGGTTGTAGGTTCTTGGCATTCATCACTTTGAATATTTCTTGCCACTCCCTTCTGGCCTGCAAAGTTTCTGTTGAGAAATCAGCTGACAGTCGTATGGGTACTCCCTTGTAGGTAACTGACTGGCTTTCTCTTGCTGCTTTTAAGATTCTCTCGTTGTCTTTTGCTCTTGGCATTTTAATTATGATGTGTCTTGGTGTGGTCCTCTTTGGATTCCTTATGTTTGAGGTTCTCTGCGCTTCCTGGACTTGTAAGTCTATTTCTTACACCAGGTAGGGGAAGTTTTCTGTCATTATTTCTTCAAATAGGTTTTCAATATCTTGCTCTCTCTCTTCTTCTGGCACCCCTATAATTCGGATGTTGGTACGCTTGAAGCTGTCCCAGAGGCTCCTTACACTATCTTCGTATATTTTTTTTTTGAGTACTGATCGTGTATTGAAAGCAGTAAGAGGTTCCACGACACCAGATAAACCAGTTCTGAGGTTTTCCCCAAGATAAATTTTAACAGCTCTAATTTCTTCAGTGTTTATCAAAATACAAAAGAAAAAAGTAGAGGTTGTTGTTTTTTATGTCAATCTGACCCTTGCAGGCTGAGGGAGTGAAATCACATGTGGACGGGGGCTCTGAGGAGTTAGGCTCTAAGATGACCCGTCACCTGTCTGCATTCCTACTGGTGAGATCCAGACAACCTGGAGCAAGTGAGTGTGTGTAGGGACCATGGGGGTCTCCCGTTCTGGCCAGAGTGGTCCCACCAAAGCACCTAAGCTGACCCACACTGACTGAAGGGAAGGCTGGGGTCCCTCCAAGGGGCCTGAGTGGTGGCTGAAGCCCCCAGCTCACCCCCACAGGCAATGGTGTAAACACAGGTACAAGCACAAATGCTATGGGATGCATATGACCCAGCAAGACAAAGCCAATCAGGGACCGTAAGTGACCATGCAGAATGTATTGTGGCTAGTTCTGCCCACTGCACACTCCAGATGGGAGACAGACCACAGGCAGACTGGACTCAAGCCATTACTGCAGAACCTACACTAGGCACATTTCTCCCTTCTCTGTGTTCAAGTGTCTCCTTACCTTGTATTTATATTATAAAAAATGTACTGAGTTTGGGTTAAAAACCAACCACCAAAATGGATCTCAACACAGATTTAAAGCCCAGAGGAGGAGCGCTGAGGTGATCTCATAGCAACTCCTAGAGGTCCCCGCCCTGGGTGCCCAAAATCCCTTCTCAGTACTAAACAGTGGGTTGATTCTTTTTTTTTTTTTTTTTTTTTTACAATAAAAAAAGCTGAGTAATATTGCATAGGAGTACCAAAAACTGCCTCATTGGAAACAAGAACTATTTACATTAAATAAAAACCCGGTTGCAGGCTGCGTCTGCACATGTACAGCATGATGAAGCACACTGGGACCGACCATGGAGACAGCTTCTGGCACTCACACCACAGGGATACATCTGCCACATGAGAGGAAAGCAAGGGTGAAGGAGGGAGTGAGGGGGAAGAGAGGAGTTCGGTTCACTTCTGGTTCCGGAGCTGATTGGACAGCCAGTCCAGTCCCTCATAGAGCCCGTCCCCACTGGTGGCACAGGTAGCCTGAATGTACCAGCTCCTGTGGCATAGAGAGTGGAGGCCCAGCTTGTCCGTGATCTCAGCTGCGTTCATGGCATTGGGGAGGTCCTGCTTGTTTGTGAACATGAGCAGGACAGCATCCCTGAGCTCATCCTCCGCCAGCATCCGCATAAGCTCCTCTTGAGCCTCATTCACACGCTCTCGGTCATTGTTGTCAACCACAAAGATGAGACCTTGTGTATTCTGGAAGTAGTGGCACCACAGAGGCCAGATCTTGTCCTGGCCACCCACATCCCACACAGTGAAGCTGATGTTCTTATACTCCACAGTCTCCACGTTGAAACCTATCGTGGGGATGGTGGTCACGATCTCACCCAGCTTCAGTTTGTACAGGATGGTGGTCTTCCCCGCAGCATCCAGGCCCACCATGAGAATGCGCATTTCTTTTTTGCCAAAAAGGCCCTTGAAGAGGTTCGCAAAGATATTCCCCATGCTGTAGACTGGAGGGAGAGACACTGGCCAGAGAAACCCTCGGCAGCCGCGGTGCTGCTGCTACTCCCAGACAGGCGTTGGTTTCGCTCCCACCTATCTTCGTATTTTTAGATTCTTTTTTCACTTTGCTTTTCCAGTTGGGTGTTTTTTGCTTCTTCATATTTCAAATCTTTGACTTGATTCTTGCGATCCTCTGGTCTGTTGTTGGGAGTCTGTATAATATTCTTTATTTCAGTCAGTGTATGCTTAATTTCTAGTTGGTCCTTTATCACAACCTCGAGGGTCTCACTAGATTTCTTGAGGGTCTCATTAAGTTTATCGGCGGTTTCAAAAAAATTCTTGAAAATCCTTAAAAGTGTGGTTTTGAACTCTATATCCAGTAGTTTGCTTTCCTCCATTTCTGTCATTTGTGTCCTGTTTCTTTGTCTCGGCATTTTTTATGCTTCGCTGTGTCGATAGAGTGGCTTTCTGTACTAAGTGTCCTATAGGGCCCAGTGGCTCAGCCTCCCCAATTACCTGAGGTGGACACTCTTGGTATACCACCTTGTGGGCTTTGTGTACAGTCTTGTTGTAGTTAAGCCTTGATTGTTGTAGGTATCACTGGGGGGGGGGGGGATTGACCTCAAGGCCAATTGGCTGTGAGAATCAGCTGTTTCTGCAGTGGGAGAACTTCTGTGCTAGAGACACCCCTCCGGGACAAGACTTGCTTCAGTGGGGCTTTGATGCTCACTGAGTCTGCCCCCTGAGTGTGTCCTTTATGGATCCGAGGAGCTGCAATCTGGATGGTCCTACTCTGACCACCGGGCACATTGGCTCCTGTATCTCTAAGGAGGTGCTAATCTAGCCTCTGCCTGAGGCTACCCAGCGGAAGCCAGCTCTGAAGCAATGCAAGTTGCCTTGGGGCCTTAGGCCAGCTGCAGTTTGTTAAGTAATTTTCAGATTGCAAAGGGCCGGGCCTTTCATATGCAAAAGTCTCCGTGCATGGCTTGGGCGGGGCGTGGTCCCAGGGGATCAACAGGGCGGGCGGAGCGAGCAGTTATGGCTGCTCTCAGTCCTGCCCTCAGAGGCCCCGCTCCCGGCAATTGCAATTGCTGTGAGCACCTCCGAGAGAAAGCTGCCCTCGAGTTCCGACTGATGCCAGACCTGTTTCTCCCGTATGAGTCTGGGTCCCCAGAGACTCGTCTGGAACTGGAGCTCAGAGCTTGAGACTCCCTCCCGATTGAAAAAGACAACAGTGTCCTCAGCCGCCAGCCCTCTCCGCATGCACCTCTGCACCTTTGTATTTTACTTCCACACTGCGCCTCCTCTGAGTCTCAGTATGCTTTTCTCTTTGCTTCTAGTTGTAGAATTTCCACTCAGCCAGCCTTCCTGTGGTTCTGGGTGATGTCCATTCCATCTTTTAGTTGTATTTTTGAAGTGGTTGTGCGAGGCAGCAATCTCCGGTGTTTACCTATGCCGCCATCTTGGTTTCTGATTCAACAGCTTTATAATCACTGTCACTGAAATTCTGGGAAGAAAGGTGGCAAAAGTTTATTGTCAAACTGAAAATTTATTAATATATTCCCCTTTCTTATTCTTATAGGACATTAATATTCAGCTGAGTGACATAAAGAAAAGTGTGCAGGGGGTAATTCATCGCTACACTTTTGATGAGTTTGCGGAGACTGGAAAGACAATGTCTCTTTCAGAATATAAGAAACAGAGAACAAAGGTGCTGGAGAAAGTATCTTTTTGTGCTAATTCTGCAGACATTAAAGAAAAGATTCTTATCCACATCCTGGCCTGGTTGAAAGAATGGAGTAAGTTTTCAAAAGTGGCTTGAAGGAAAACCATAAAGTTGATGAATAAGCTAGAGAGCAGGATCTATAAGTAAATTCTGAAGTAGTAGTAGACTAAAGAAGAAAGTATTAAGGAGTTGTCCTCTATTTCAGTAAGAATCTATATATATAAAAGGCTAAGCAACCGTCCGACCTCCCAACCGTCCAACTGGTCAGAAGCTATGATGCACACTGACCACCAGGGGGCATATGCTCAATGCAGGAGCTGCTGAGCTGCGCTCACTTGGCAGTGGCAGTTCTCAAGTGATGCACCCCGGAACTAGAGAGGAGGGAGCCCGATTCCTCGTGACTCCTCTCCCACTCTGGGTCCCCTCAGGGGATGTCAGAGAGCCAGTTTCGACCCAATCCCCCATGCCAGGCCAAGGGACCCCACCTGCTGGAGGGACCCTGCTCATTCCGCAGATGCCCTTTGAGCTGCAGCACTGGGCCAGGCGTGGCTGGCCAGGGAGGAACCGTGGGAGGTTGGCCCCAGGACATGTCTGGCCTGTCTCACCCAGTCCTACCTCACTGGCCACCATTCAGAACTGCCTGCATTAGTCCCTGCACCAGAGGGACTAATTAATTTCCTTTCAATATGCACGAATCCATGCACTGGGGCACTAGTAAAGTAATAAAAATATGGCTTGCTCACTTAGTGCCAATAATTCTGGCCTCCTTGTTTTGCTTCAGGCATGCCAGTATGCTCCTGCCCAGTGTCTTTATGCTTCCTATTCCCTTGCCTAGACATTTTTTACTAGGTAGACACATGGCTCATTCTCTGCTTATATCTTACTTTAAAATGAGGTGTTCTCTTTCCTCTGAAGCAGGGGCCAATGGTTTGACATGCTGTAATTGCCTGGCAGAGAGTCATCATTTTGGTCCAATGATGGGAAGTCAGCTCAGTTGGCCTGGAGTGTGGTGGTGGGGGCACCCAAACTAAAGAGAATTATTTTCTAATACTATTTAATTTGGTTTGGCTCAGTGAAAGAGCATATGCCTGCAGACTAAATGTCCCAGGTTCGATTCTGGTCAAGGGCACATTCACGGGTTGTGGACTAGATCCCCAGTAGGGGGCCTGCAGGAGGCAGCAGATCAATAATTCTCTCTCATCTTTGATGTTTCGGTCTCTCCCTCTCCCTCCATCTCTGAAATCAATAAAAATATTTTTTAAAAATTAATTTTTGCTATCTCTTTCTTACAGTGACTTTTTTCTTATTCATAAAATAAATTATAATGAATTATACCTATAAAACCTTTATTTAAGTCCAGAGTCTACTCAGCAGCCTTGATCTGCATTCATATATACTAGAGGCCCGGCGCATGAAATTCATGTGCAGGTATGGTCCCTCAGCGTGGCCTGCGATTGGGGCCATCTTCCCCAGCTGCCCGCAGCCAGCCCCATCCCCCCACCCCTGGTTCCTCGTTTGCCATCGGGTGATTGGTGCCTGACAGCTGGGGGAAGGGCCTGAGAGGTCAGCTGTTCCCACCTGCTCACCAGCCCTACCCCCACTGTGGGTGGCCATCAGGTGATTGGAGCCTGCCAGCGGAGAAAGGGACCAAGAGGTGGTCAGTGTGCCTCATAGTGACTGGTCCAGCGGTTTTTTTGGTTGTTCTCCCGTTAGGGTCAATTTGCATATTACCCGTTTATTATATAGGTTAGAGGCCTGGTGCACAGGTGACAGCCAGCTGGCCTGCCCTGATGGGGGTCTCCGATCAGGGTGGGGTTCCCTGCTGGGGGGCCACCAGGGGTTTGCAGGCTGGCCACGCCCCCAATCGGGCTGGGTTCGCTGGCCGAGTGGGCGTCATAGCAACTGGTCGTTCCAGCATTATGGTCGCTGGCTTTTTATATGTATAGATACTGTGTTAAACATAGTTATTTTTGGGCATTTGAACTTTGCTTTACTTTAATAGAAAATAATGCTGTTATTAAACATCTTTGAAAATGGAAAATGAAATAAAATTAGGTGTTCTCTGACCATCCCCATTCTCTATCCCATGTCCATTTCTCTTTACTCTTCTTTGTTTTTGTCTATACCATTTCTTACCATCTGACATACTATATAATTAATGTTTTTACTTATTTTTTGTCTGTCTCCTTTCACTATAATATAAGTACTATAAGTCAGGGAATTGGTTTTATTCAATGCTTTATCCATAAAATCTAGAAGATAACTTGACAGAGGACACATTGATTGAATGAAAGAATGAATAAACTATAAATACAAAAAAGAGGATTTTAATTTGGTTGCAAGAAATCTCATGTAACAGGGCTTATAAAAGAGTAGATTCACTTGCCAAAGGATTTAATTGGGGCTTAGATCCCCAATATTAAAACACATGTCAACATTTTAGATACCTACTTCTCTGGAGTTTAAACCAAATAGATATCTTTTAACATGATTCTTATTTTTATGTTCAAGACTTACTGTTCAAGCCTCTATTCTTTTTTTAAAAAATATATTTTTTATTGATTTTTTTTACAGAGAGGAAGGGAGAGGGATAGTGAGTTAGAAACATGGATGAGAGAGAAACATCGATCAGCTGCCTCTTGCACACCTCCCACTGGGGAAGTGCCCCCAACCAAGGTACATGCCCTTGACTGGAATTGAACCTGGGACCCTTCAGTCTGAAGGCCGACGCTCCATCCACTGAGCCAAACCGGCTACGGCTCAAGCCTCTATTCTAAGTCTCTTCCTTTTTCATTTCCTCATAAGAAAAAGATCTCAGAATAGCAATAAGTATGAGATACCTTTATTCCAAAATACTACAACATTGAATAGTCAATATTATAAGCCCATATGGTTACAATTATTTATTTTTCTGAACAAAAGTAATTTTCTTACTCTCTTCAAGATGCCATTTTGTCTGATATGACTGAAGTTGATATTGATGAACACCACCACTGCATAGCACAAATGGAGGTTTTACCAAAAACGTTCAAAGCTATCGAGGGCAATGTCAAGAGGTTGAGTGTAATTAGTACCTCTTTGCTTGAAGACAAGAAGAAACAAGAGGAAAAAAAAGGTAAGGATGGTTTAATATATTGGAAATGGTTTTTACTTTTTCTAAAATTCAACTTTATTGAGGTATAATATAGATACCATAATATTCACCCATTTGCCCTGGCCAGGTGGCTAACTTGGAATGTCATCCCATACTTCAACAGGTTGCCAAATTGATTCCTGGTCAGGGTACATACCTAGGTTGTGGACTCAATCCCAGGGCACATATGGGAGGCAATAAATAAATGTTTCTCTCTCACATCAATGTTCCTCTCCCTTCCTCTCACTATAAAAGCAATAAAAACATATCCTTAGGTGAGGATCCTTTTTTTTTTTTTAATATATATTTTTTATTGATTAAGATATTACATATGTGTCCTTGTCCCCACGTTACCCTTTACCCCCCACCCCCCCACCCCCGCTCATGCCCTCACCCCCCCGTTGTCCATGTCCATTGGTTAGGCCTATATGCTTGCATATAAGTCCTTTGGTTGATCTTTCCTCCTTACCCCCACCCTCCCCTACCTTCCCTCCAAGTCCCGACAGTCCAATCAATGCCTCTCCGTCTCTGGATCAGTCCTTGTTCATCAGCTTATGTTGTTCATTATATTCCACAAATGAGTGAGATCCTGTGGTATTTATCCGCTCTCAAGTTCCATCCATGCTGTGGCAAATGGTAAGAGTTCCTTTTTCTTCTTCCTCTTCTTAAAGAATACCTTTCAGCATTTCATATAATGCTGGTTTGGTGGTGATGAACTCCTTTAGCTTTTTCTTATCCGTGAAGCTCTTTATCTGACCTTCAATTCTGAATGATAGCTTTGCTGGATAAAGTAATCTTGGTTGCAGGTTCTTGCTATTCATCACTTTGAATATTTCTTGCCAGTCTCTTCTGGCCTGCATGGTTTCTGTTGAGAAATCAGCTGACAGTCGTATGGGTACTCCCTTGTAGGTAACTGACTGTCTTTCTCTTGCTGCTTTTAAGATTCTCTCTTTATCTTTTGCTCTTGGCATTTTAATTATGATGTGTCTTGGTGTGGTCCTCTTTGGATTCCTTTTGTTTGGGGTTCTCCGTGCTTCCTGGACTTGTAAGTCTATTTCTTTCACCAGGTAGGGGAAGTTTTCTGTCATTATTTCTTCAAATAGGTTTTCAATATCTTGCTCTCATCTTCTGGCACCCCTATAATTCTGATGTTGGTACGTTTGAAGCTGTCCCAGAGGCTTCTTACACTATCTTCGTATTTTTGGATTCTTTTTTCATTTTGCTTTTCCAGTTGGGTGTTTTTAGCTTCTTCGCATTTCAAATCTTTGCCTTGTTTCTTGCAGTCCTCTGGTCTGCTGTTGGGAGTCTGTATAATATTCATTATTTCAGTCCGGGTATGTTTAATTTCTAGTTGGTTCTTTATCATAACATCGAGGGTCTCATTAGATTTGTTGAGGATCTCATTAAGTTTATCAGCGGCTTCTAGACAGTTCTTGAGAGACCTTAAAAGTGTGGTTCTGAACTGAATATCCTCTATTGACAGTTTTGTCCTGTTTCTTTGTCTCCGCATTTTTTTTATGCTTTCTTGGTGCACCCCCTAGTGGTCTTTGTGTGCAGTCCTCCTGTAGTTAAGCCTTGATTGTTGTAGTTAATACTAGGGGGATTTGACCTCCAGGCCAGCTGGCTGTGAGAATCAGCTGTGTCTGCAGTGGGAAAACTTCTGTCCTCTAGGGAGGTGCTAATCTAGCCTTTGCCTGAGGCTATCTGGCTAATGGCTGTGGGCAGGGCTTGGGCAGGGCGGGTGGGTCGCTCGGGCTCAGGATCAACAGGGTGGGCCGGAGAGAGCAGTTATGGCAGCTCTCAGTTCCGTCCCTAGGGGCTCTGCCTCAGAGAGTCCCAGCAACCGCTGCAAACCTCGGAGAGAAAGCTGCCTTCGAGTTCTGACTGAAGCGAGACAGTCCCGCTTCTCCCGTTTGAGTCTGGGTCCCTAGAGACTCGCCCGGATCTGGAGCTCAGAATCTGAGACTCCCTCCCGATTGAAAGCACCAACCGCACCCCCGCCAGCCCGCTCCGTGCGCACTCCGTACCTGAGTATTTCACTTCAGCACTGTGCCTCCTCTGAGTCTGGGTATGATATTCTCTTTCCTCCTAGTTGTAGAATTTCCACTCAGCCAGCCTTCCTGTGGTTCTGGATGATGTCCGTTCCATCTTTTAGGTGTGTTTTGATTTGGTTGTTCAAGGCAGCAATCTCCGGCGTTAACATATGCCGCCATCTTGGTTCTCCTCCTGGTTGGGTGTTTTTTGCTTCTTCGTATTTCAAATCTTTGACTTGATTCTTGGGATCCTCTAGTCTGCTGCTGGATTCCTGCATATTATTCTTTATTTCAGACAATCTATGCTGAATTTCTAATTGGTCCTTTTTTATATCCTTGAGGGTCACACTAAATTTCTCGGAGGTTTCTAGAGGATTCTTGAGTAACCTTATAACCGTAGTTTTGAACTCTATATCCAGTAGTTTGCTTTCCTCCATTTCTGTCATTTGTCACCTGTTTCTTTGTCTTCACATTTTGGCTGTTTCCCTGTGTTGATAGAGTGGCTTTGTGTGCTAGGTGTCCTATAGGGCCCAGTGGCTCAGCCTTCCTAGTCACCGGAGGTGGACACTCTTGGTGCACCCCTTTGTGGGCTGTGTGCATAGTCTTGTTGTAGTTAAGCCTTAATTGCTGTTGGTATCATTGGGAGGAATTGACCTCCAGACCAATTGGCTATGAGAACCAGTTGTGTCTACAATGGGAGAATTGCTGTGCTGGAAACACCTTTTGGGGGCAGGACTTATTTCAGTGGGGCTCTGGTGCTCACTGAGTCTGCCCCCTGAGTGTGTCTCTTATGGATCTGAAGAGTTATAATCTGGTGTGGTCTCACTCTGACCACTGGGCACACTGGGTCTTGGATCTCCAAGGAGGAGCAAAGTCAACCACTGCTTGAGGCCACCCAGCAGGAGGTACAGAGAGATCTTCAGATTCCTCCTCTTTGTTTGGGGTTTGGAGGTGCACAGATGAGGTACAGCTGTGAAGCAATGCAGGCTGCTGATGAGCCTTAGGCCTTCTTTTGGAAGCTCTGGGGTTCTTTGACCCAGGTGCAGTTTGTTCGGTTTCAGATTGCAAAAGGCCAGGCCATTCATATGCAAAAGCCTCTGAGTACAGCTTGGGTGGGGTTGTAAATTGGGTGGGGCGGGGTCTCAGGGAATCATGGGCGGTGCAAACAGCAATGGTTGCTCATTGGCCCTGCCCTGTTAGGTCCCTGGGTCTCTGTGTCCCGCAGCCCTGTGCAGGAACAATGATCACTGCAAGCACCTCTACGAGAAAGCCGCCCTAGCGTTCCAGCCCGATGCCAGACAGTCCAGTTTCTCCCTGTATGAGTCTGGGTCTCCAGAGTCTCACCCGGAACTGGAGTTTAGAGCAGTTGGGAGTTTGTATTTCCCTCCCAATTGAAAAAGACAACAGCGTAGCCAGTTGCCAGCCTATTTTGCGTGTCTCCATACCTCCACTCTTCCACACCTCTGCACCTCCTACCAGTCTAGATGCGCTTTTCTTTTTCCCTCTAGTCGTCGGACTTCCACTCAGCCAGCTTTCCTGTGGTTCTGGATGATATCCGTTTTGTCTTTTAGTTGTAGTTTTTGGTTGTTGTTTTTTTTTTTAATATATTTTATTGATTTTTTACAGAGAGGAAGGGAGAGAGATAGTTAGAAACATAGATGAGAGAGAAACATTGATCAGCTGCCTCCTGCACATCTCCCACTGGGGATGTGCCTGCAACCCAGGTACATGCCCTTGACCGGAATCGAACCTGGGACCTTTCAGTCTGCAAGCCGACGCTCTATCCACTGAGCCAAACCGGTTTTGGCTAGTTAAGGGGTTTTATTCCCTCTGTAACTTCAGGGGAAAATCCCTACCTGGGGAAACAACCTTTCTCAGAGAGGTGACCTTGGTTAAAACACATAGTGCCAAGAAGGTGAGCAAACATATTAAGAACAGTATGCCATATATGCCAGGTCCCTTGAAACCACAAGGATGGACCGGCTCCCAGCACTGGTCAATGATTCTCTCTCATCATTGATGTTTCTCTCTCTCCCTTCCTCTCTGAAATCAATAAACATATATATTAAAAAAATTAAAAAAGAGGCAGCTGAGTGTAGAGAATTTCTCTAGTTGTAGTTTTGATGTGGTTGTGTGAGGCAGCAAGTTCAGGTGTTTACCTATGCCACCATCTTGGTTCCTCCTTCTTTCAGTACTTTAAATATACCATCCTACTGCCTTCTGGCCTCCATTTTTTCTGATAAAAAGTGAGCTGTAGTTCTCCTGTATTTGACTAGTCTCTTTTGATTGTGATGAGTCATTTTTCTATATTTTGTGCCTTTATTTTGGCTTGTTTATTTTAATTTTTTTCCATCACCACCATTTTTACCCTTTTATCTATTTACTGGAGGCCCAGTGCATGAAATTTGTGTGTGGGGGACTCCCGCAGCCCAGCCTGCACCCTCTCACAATCCAGGACTGCTGGCTCCTAACTGCTCGCCTGCATATCTGCCTGATTGCCCCTAACCTCTCTGCCTGCCTGTCTGATTGCCCCTAACCACTTGCCTGCCTGCCTGATTGCCCCTAACTGCTTGCCTGCCTGCCTGATTGCCCCTAACCACCTTTGCCTTGGCTCCTGCACCCAGGACCTGGGCTTCCCTCCCTCCGGCTGGCCACAGGCACCCAGGACCTGGGCTTCCTTCCCTCTGGCCTGGCCACAGGCACCAGGGACCCCGGGTGGCTTCACCTGGGCCCCAGCTTTGCCAGGAAGGATGTCCGGAATGACGTCTGGAAGATGTCTGGTCTATCCGGTCTAATTAGCATATTACCCTTTTATTAGTATAGATTTTTTTTTTTACCACCTCTTTTTTCTTTAAAGATTCTCTCTTTGTATGGCTTTCAATGGATTGACTATGATGTGTCTAGGTATGGATTGTTTTGTGTTTGTCTACTTAAAATTTGCTGAGTTTTTTGAATGTGTAAATTAATGTTTTTCATAAAATTTTGGATAATTTGCCCAGCTGGTATGGCTCAGTGGTTGAGTGTCAATCCATGAATCAAGAGGTCACAGTTCAATTACCAGTCAGGGCAAATGCACGAATTGTGGGTTCGACCCCCAGTGAGGGGTGGGCAGGAGGCAGCCAAACAATGATTTTCTGTCATCATTGATGTTCTCAACCTCTCTCCCTCTCTCTTCCTCTCCCTGAAATCAATAGAAACATATTAAAAAGAGAAACTTTCCCTCTGAAACTAGATCTCTAATATCTCTAGATATATATTTGGATGATTTGGCCATTACTTCTTTAAATACCTTTTTAAAATTTATTTTTCTTTATTTATTAAGGTATTACATATGTGTCCTTATCCCCCCCACTCATGCCCTCACACCCCTGGTGTCTGTGTCCATTGGTTATGCTTATACAAATACTTTTCTAAAAATATGTTTTTATTGAGAAAGAGGAAGGGAGAGGGATAGAGAAAAACATTGATGAGAGAGAAACCTATCAGCTGCTTCCTGTATATCCCCTACTCAGTATTGAGCCCAAAACCTGGGCATGTGCCCTGACCAGGAATCCAACCGGTAACCTCTCAGTGCATGGGACAATACCCAATGATCAATCAACTGAGCCACACTGGCCAGGACACTTCTTCAAATACTTTTAATGTACCTCCCCCCTCTTGTTCTGGGCCTTCTATTATTTGTACATCAGTATGCTTAATGGTGTGTCACATGTCTCTGAGGCTTTGTTCATTTTTCTTTCTTCTTTCTTCTCCATGTTCTCAGATTAGACAACTTTTACTAATCTAGCATCAAGCTTTCTGGGTTTTCTTCTGTTAGTTCAAATCTACTTTGAGCCCTCTTGGTTAACTTTTCATTTTAGTTATTATACTATTCAGCTCTATTTTTTTCCACTTGGTTGTTCTAATTTCCATATCTTTATTGATATGCTGTATTTGATGAGCAATTATCATCATAGTTGTCTTCTTCAGCTATCTATTAATTTATTCTAACTTCCTTGGGTTTAAGCATAGATAGGACACAACACAAAAGAAGAAATACAATCTCATCATTTGTGTTTTATGGTTTTTCTTCTTCTAGCATCTAGAAAAGCTCTATGGAAATCTTGGAAAGAAAGAGTTATAAAGCGACCTGCAACAGTCCATGCTTTAACACCAAATCAGATGATTGGTGATGAATTTGCAACAAATACAAAGGTTTCAGAAATTCAAGCCATGCTACAGGAACTCATAGATACTACAATGTTCAATAAATTGGAAAATAATGCTATTAACTATATAGCATCGACAATAGAAAACCTTTCTAAAGCGTTGAGTTCACTAAATAATGAAGCAAAAATTATTAACCTCCATCCTGGGATATATATAAGTGAGGAAAGTGAAAAAGAGCTCTCCCTACAGATAATACAAGAGCTCAGTGAAGAAAATGAAAGGCTTCAGCGGAAACTTCAAGAAGCAGAAGAAAAATGTGAGCAGTTTATTAAATTCAAAGCATCGCCCACATCAACCTTGAAGGTGTTATATGAGTTTTCTCCAGAATCATCCATGGGCTTTAGCATGACTGATGAAGCAGCGAGTATGGACAATACTTTGACGAAAGAATTTGAAAATAGAATGGATGGGGCCCAAAGAAAGGAGACCCAAGGCTCAGTGTTAAAGTGGGACTCAGCAAGTTCACATACAGTCCAAGTTGAAATGACTCCAGATTTAATTGAACAGCAATTCCCTTTACTTGAAAAACCCCCCAAAATACCTTCCAAAGATATCACTGAAGATAAGATATCACTGAAGAAAGGTGACATCTATCAGAAAGGTTGGACTGATGAGTATCAATCACAGAAAAGGAAGATCACAAAAGCCCCATATGAGTTTGAGACCTCTAGATCAAATCTGAGTAATCAGACAAGTAAACAAATAGTCCCGAAGACCAAAGTGGACTATGACTTAGATCTACAAGCACAGCAAAAGATGAGTCAAGAAATACAGCCCCTTTCTATAGCCAAATCAAAGTCATTCATTGAATCAAAAAGTCAACATGTTCTTTCTAATTTCCCTTCTACTGACACAAAGAGCCAAGGTGGCAAAAGTGGAACAAGTAGTAAGTGGGAACGACTTAGGAAGTACAAAATTGCATATATACTTGAGAAATGCCAAATTATTTCAGACCACAAAAAGAAATCCACCACTGAGTTAATGGCCAAAGAGAGTAAAAGTGTTATGAGTTTCCAAGCAGTGCCATTTGCGTCAATCCAACCTGATAAATCCTCTGAGAAAGTAAAAATAAAAGGAAAGGAACATCAAATCTCTTCAGAAATTACCACAAGCAAAGAAGGAAAAACTAAAGAGGAGGACACGTCAGTCTTTTCCAAGAAGGGCAAGTCTCAAGAACTTGTTGAATCACAATCTAAGACAACTAAAGAGACTTCAGAATCTACTACAGTTCTAGGAAGTCCAGAGGGCAAAAGTGAACAGGCTAATCTAGATGAATTTCACAACGCCATAATGTCTTTCTTAAAAGAGAAAATTGATAACACAGAAAATCCTTTGGATAAAAAGACTATGCTGGAAGAAGAGTTATTATTAAAAAAAGCAGAAGTTGAAAAATTAGGAATCATAAAGGCAAAAATGGAAGAATATTTCCAAAATGTGGCTAGAGCTGTGGCAAAAATCTTGAGAAAATACAAAGACATTAAAAAAGCAGGACAAATTAGAGAGAAACAAATGAAACAAACAAGAGTCTCATTTATGCCAGGACTACATTTACAGGAGCCAGTTAGTCCAACGTCTGAAATTAGCTCCTTACTCTCATCTGAGAGCATGGACCCAGTAGTACAAAATTTAACACAAGAGATCTTGAATGAAATAGATGCTCCAGTCGTCTCACTAGCAGATCATAAGGAGGAGGAAAAACAGAGGCAGGAGGAATATTTGCTAGAGGTTCAAGGAGAAAGTTTTAATATGAATCTTAAACACCAGTTGCAAGAAAAAAGGAATCTCTGTAAGATGAGCTATCAGAGGATACATAAGGATTTGCAAAAGCTCCAGATGAAGGAGGGAGAGCAAGAGCAACAGAAGCAGGATCAGTGGCAGGAAGAAGTGTGGGAGCAACATCAAAAACAAAGGATGCAAACGCAAACTGAGCAAGATGAGAAGCAAAAGGGAATGGAAGAGGAAGAAGAGCAGAAGCAAAAGCAGCAGCACCTGGAAGCATGGAGGCAAAAAATGAAAGAGCAAGGAGTGTCCTTGGAGAAGGAGAAGGGACAGCAGATGGAGCAGCTTCAGAAGGAAGTGAAACATATGGAACTGGAAAGTAGCTGGAAGGAAGAGGAAGAGAAGCAGAAGCCAAAGAGAAAGGGAAGGGACGATGAAAGTCAGTGGCATAAGAAAGCAAAGGAGCAGTTGAAGATTAAGGAGGAAATACCTGAAGAACTAGAAACTGTGTTAAGTTACAGTTCAATAAGATTGACTCCCAGGTGGAAGAACACATGGAAACGTGCATTACTCTTACACACAAAAACAGACTTCCATGTGAATCTTGCTGATGAAAAGCACTCCGAACTAGTCATTCCTCCCACCTCAACACAGCTTTCCTCACCTGGGCCCTTTTCTATTCCTGGACAGTTTCCTACAAAGTCCATTACTGTCATTCATGAGGAGGACCAGAACCAGGGCATCACTCTCTCTCCTGAGCAGGCGCAGGCACTGGGCATCACTCTCACCCCTCAGCAGGCCCAGGAGCAGGGAATCACTCTCACCCCTAGTCAAGCCCTGGCACAGGGAATCACACTCACCCCTAGTCAAGCCCTGGCACCGGACACCACTCTCACCCCTCAGCAGGCCCTGGAGCAGGGCATCACTCTCACCCCTAGTCAAGCCCTGGCACAGGGAATCACACTCACCCCTAGTCAAGCCCTGGCACCGGACACCACTCTCACCTCTCAGCAGGCCCTGGCGCAGGGCATCACTCTCACCCCTAGTCAAGCCCTGGCACAGGGCATCACTCTCACCCCTCAGCAGGCCCTGGAGCAGGGCATCACTCTCACCCCTAGTCAAGCCCTGGCACAGGGCATCACTCTCACCCCTCAGCAGGCCCTGGAGCAGGGCATCACTCTCTCCCCTCAGCAGGTCCTGGCACAGGGCATCACTCTCACCCCTCAGCAGGTCCAGGCACAGGGCATCACTCTCACCCCTAGTCAAGCCCTGGCACAGGGAATCACACTCACCTCTCAGCAGGCCCTGGTACAGGGCATCACTCTCACCCCTCAGCAGGCCCTGGCACAGGCCATCACTCTCACCCCTCAGCAGGCCCTGGCACAGGGCATTACTCTCACCCCTCAGCAGGTCCAGGCACAGGACATCACACTCACCCCTCAGCAGGCCCTGGCACAGGACATCACGCTCACCCCTCAGCAGGTCCAGGCACGAGACATCACACTCACCCCTCACCAGGCCCTGGCACAGGACATCACTCTCACCCCTCAGCAGGTCCAGGCACTGGGCATCACTCTCACCCCTCACCAGGCCCAGGCACTGGGCATCACTCTCACCCCTCAGCAGGTCCAGGCACAGGGCATTACACTCACCCCTAGTCAAGCCCTGGCACAGGGAATCACTCTCACCCCTAGTCAAGCCCTGGCACCGGACATCACTCTCACCCCTCAGCAGGCCCTGGCACAGGCCATCACTCTCACCCCTCAGCAGGTCCTGGAGCAGGACATCACTCTCACCCCTAGTCAAGCCCTGGCACAGGGCATCACTCTCACCCCTCAGCAGGCCCTGCCACAGGACATCACTCTCACCCCTCAGCAGGCCCTGGTACAGGGCATCACTCTCACCCCTCACCAGGCCCAGGCACTGGGCATCACTCTCACCCCTCAGCAGGTCCAGGCACAGGGCATCACTCTCTCCCCTAATCAAGTCCTGGCACCGGACACCACACTCACCCCTCAGCAGGCCCTGCCACAGGACATCACTCTCACCCCTCAGCAGGCCCTGGTACAGGGCATCACTCTCACCCCTCACCAGGCCCAGGCACTGGGCATCACTCTCACCCCTCAGCAGGTCCAGGCACAGGGCATCACTCTCTCCCCTAATCAAGTCCTGGCACCGGACACCACTCTCACCCCTCAGCAGGTCCAGGCACAGGGTATCACTCTCACCCCTGAACAGGCCCAAGCACAGGGCATCACTCTCACCCCTCAGCAGGTCCTGGCACAGGGCATCACTCTCACCCCTCAGCAGGTCCTGGCACAGGGCATCACTCTCACCCCTCAGCAGGTCCAGGCACAGGGCATCACTCTCTCTCCTAGTCAAGTCCTGGCACCGGACATCACTCTCACCCCTCAGCAGGCCCTGGAGCAGGGCATCACTCTCACCCCTCAGCAGGCCCAGGCACTGGGCATCACTCTCACCCCTCAGCAGGCCCAGGCACAGGGCATCACTCTCACCCCTGAACAGGCCCAAGCACAAGGCATCACTCTCACCCCTCAGCAGGTCCTGGCACAGGGCATCACTCTCACCCCTCAGCAGGTCCTGGCACCGGTCATCACTCTCACCCCTCAGCAGGCCCTGGCACAGGGCATCACTCTCACCCCTCAGCAGGCCCAGGCACTGGGCATCACTCTCACCCCTCAGCAGGTCCAGGCACAGGGCATCACTCTCACCCCTGAACAGGCCCAAGCACACGGCATCACTCTCACCCCTCAGCAGGTCCTGGCACAGGGCATCACTCTCACCCCTCAGCAGGTCCTGGCACCGGTCATCACTCTCACCCCTCAGCAGGCCCTGGAGCAGGGCATCACTCTCACCCCTCAGCAGGCCCAGGCACTGGGCATCACTCTCACCCCTCAGCAGGTCCAGGCACAGGGCATCACTCTCACCCCTGAACAGGCCCAAGCACAGGGCATCACTCTCACCCCTCAGCAGGCCCAGGCACAGGGCATCACTCTCACACCTCAGCACGTCCTGGCACAGGGCATCACTCTCACCCCTCAGCAGGTCCTGGCACAGGGCATCACTCTCACCCCTCAGCAGGTCCAGGCACAGGGCATCACTCTCACCCCTCAGCAGGTCCTGGCACAGGGCATCACTCTCACCCCTCAGCAGGTCCAGGCACAGGGCATCACTCTCACCCCTCAGCAGGTCCAGGCACAGGGCATCACTCTCACCCCTCAGCAGGTCCTGGCACAGGGCATCACTCTCACCCCTCAGCAGGCCCTGGAGCAGGGCATCACTCTCACCCCTCAGCAGGCCCAGGCACTGGGTATCACTCTCACCCCTCAGCAGGTCCAGGCACAGGGCATCACTCTTACCCATGAGCAGTTCAAGGCACTGATGGTTACCCTCACTCTTGAAAAATCCCAGGGTTTGGGAGTCACACTCACACATGAGCAAGTCCAAGCATTGAGAGCTCCTGTCATTTTCCAGCAAGAAGGGACATTGAGGGACTATATTACTCCTATCCAGGGCCAGACTCCAAAGGCACCTGCCCAGGCACATGACATGACTCTTACCCCTGAGCAGAGCCAGGGAATGCAGATCCCTGTGACTACTCAACAGGCCCAGATACTTGGTGTCCCTATCACTCAAGGCCAGGATGAAGCATTGGGAGTCACTATCACACCACAGCAGGCAGAGGCACAGGCACAGGCACGGGCACTGATGTTCACTCTTACTCCAGAGAACGCGCGGATTTGGGGTATCACACATACCAATGAACAAGCCCCGGCAGTGGGTATTACCCTCACCCCTGAGCAGAAACAAGTATTGGGGGTCCCACTTACCCTTGACCAGGCTCAGGCATTAGAGACCCCTCTCACTGCAGAACAGGCCTGGAAATTGGGGGTCGCTATCACTCCAGAAATGGCTCAGGAAGTATCACACACTCTTTTTCTTAAGCAGGGCAAAGCATTGGGGATTGAACAGGCTCAGTCATTTGGCACTCCTTTAACTCTGAATCAGGCCCAGGCATTGCGAATCCCAAATGCCTGGTTATCAATTATCACTCGTAGGCATGAACGGTCTTTGGGGGCCCCTCTCACTTCAGATAAAGCCCATGTCTTAGGACCTCCCCTTACCCATGAGCAAGTTCAACCTTCGGGAGCTCCCTTCACCCCAGGACAGGCCCAGCCCATGGGTATTACTCACATGTCTAAGCAGAGCCTAGAACCAAGAGCTCCTCCCATTAATGAGCAGTTTTCACAAATCTGGGCTGGTCCTTCTTCAGGACATACCCAGGAAGTTGGGATCTTTTCCATTTCTGATAAATCCATCAAACCAAGTGCTCCTCACATGCCTAGGCTGTCCACCAGATTGGCCCCTTCCACTCTGAAACCATTTCAAGAATCAAAGACTTCTCTCCTTTCTGGGCAATCCACTACATCAAGAACTAGATGGCCCCTGGTACCATCTGCTCTTATTGATGAGAAGACCCCTGGATTTAAGGTCTCTTCTACTTCTTTGCAGACATCAGGGTTTCCTTTCACCCAAGCCCCATTTGTCTCTGGGAAATCCGGAGGAAAGGGGAGCTTCCCTAGGGAGCTTCCTTCCTCTAAACAGACACTGGTTTCTAAGGGTCAATTCACCCCTGTGAAGTTCCTAGCACCAGAGGTCCCTCCCACCCCTGGGAAGCTTTCAGTATCTGGGACCCCTCCCACTCTAGGGCAGCCCCTTACACTGGATTCCCCTCTTAGCCCTAGGCAGATCCTCATACCTAGGGACTCTCTGACTCCCCAGTCACCCCTGATATCAAAGCTTCCTCTTGCCTCTAGGCAACCTCTTATATCTGGAATTCCACCTGCCTCTTCACCGATTCCCAGTCTCTGGGCTCCTCTCTTTCCTGGGAAGCCTTTGATTCCTGGGGCCCCTTCTGTCCCTGGGGAGCTCATTGAATCTGGACTCTCCACCTTCTCTGAGCAGCCCCAGGCATTTCAGCTCCCTACCACCTGTGAGCAATCTCCCTATCTACAAGCCCCTTCTACCCTTGGGGAGCTTCCGGCACCACAGACCTTTCCTGGGCAAGCTTTCCCACTACGGATCTCTCCCACCCCTGGGCATCCTCCACCACCATGGGCCCCCTCAACCCCTGCAAAGCCCCCAAAAGATCTGTCTCTGAAATCTAAATCAGCATTGGTCCATCCCGGTGCTCCAAGTTTCAAGGTACCACAAGCCCCTTTCACCGCTAAGAAGTTCCAAATATCAGAGGTCTCTGACACTTCTGAAGAAATCCAGGAACTCCGAGATTCTTTTACTATGGAACAACTTAGGACATTTCAGCCCTATCTCACCAAGTATAGGACACCAGTATCACAAACTCCTTACATTGATGAGGGGGACCTGTCCACTCTCATGAAGCCTATAACATCACTGCCTCCTCTTACTACTCAACTACCCAAAAGATCACAGATTTCACCTTCCGAATGGGACTGGAAATCCCGATTTCCCCCTATAAGTAAGCCCTGCGTACTGACTTCAGTTTCAGGTACCAAGAAACTCAAGATGATGATACCCCCTTCCTCTTTCCAAGAGCTCAAAGAGCAGAGGTATTTTGTTGATGTGAAGGCTCAAAGGAAGAACCTGATACTCTTAAATCAGACCACAGAAACTTCTGGACACCCTTCAGAGCTACATACAACAGCTAGAAATCTCATAATTGAGACACTTCATACAGACACAGTTCGACTGGGATACCTATTCCGCAAGTACATTGCCTATAGGCTGATCCAGCGTGCAAGGTAGATGTAACTATTACATGTTGATTTCTGGTTTAGTTCTGATTTCAAATATCCTCCCACGTTGCCCTATAAGTATATTCATATTTATCAGGTCAGTTGTTCTAAAAGATTCTCTTATGGTAGGTCTATGGGATGGAAGCCTATTTAAGATAGCAAAAGGAGATATTTTTTTAAAAATATATTTTATTGATTTTTTACAGAGTGGAAGGGAGAAGGATAGAGAGTTAGAAACATCGATGAGAGAGGAACATCGATCAGCTGCCTCCTGCACACCTCCTACTGGGGATGTGCCCACAACCAAGGTACATGCCCTTGACCGGAATCGAACCTGGGACCCCTCAGTCCACAGGCCAACACTCTATCCACTGAGCCAAACTGGTCAGGGCAAAAGGAGATATTTTTTAGAAAATAAATATATAATATGATCTATTTCATATGCCAAGGTAAATTTTGTGGATAATGACTGATCCCCATAATATCTACTTCAAAAGTTTAGAGATGTTTCCAGTTATTCTGAATTTTTTACATCATCTTGGGCTCACCAGAAGATGTATGATTCCTAAAATGGGAGATGGCAGATTATGTACAAGGTGTTGCCATGGCAACTTGACTGCTGGAGTGACCTGAAAGAAACAGATCCTCATCCTGATTTTTAAAAATTGCAAATAGCTCTAACCGGTTTGGCTCGGTGGATAGAACGTCGGCCTGCAGACTGAAAGGTCCCAGGTTCGATTCCGGTCAAGGGCATGTATCTTGGTTGTGGGCACAATCCCAGTAGGAGGTATGCACGAGGCAGCTGATAGATGTTTCTCTCTCATCGATGTTTCTAACTCTCTATACCTCTCCCTTCCTCTCTGTAAAAAAGAAAAAAAAATTAATAAAATTTATTTTTTAAAAAAATTGCAACTATCAGAAATAGGTCAGGGAAATGTATCTGGTTCCTCCCCCACCCCCCGCAACCCACACACACACACACATGGCTACCCAGTTCCCCCTACTATTTAAACGTATCTTAATTATAAATTCTTGTATCAATTAGGTACGTATCTGGACTTTTTATTATTTTTTACTGATTACATATAGATGAGTTACTTCTATTCCATGTTATTTATTGCAGTTTTATTCTCATGATGTTGAGTCTTTGTCAACTGACCTGCCATCCTTAGCATTTGTGTTTTGAGGTTACGAACCTATTATTTTGGGGAAACTTTTTAACCTTAAATTACAAGAAGCTAAACTAAAACCTATAATAGAAGAGGTTATCATTAAATATAGGAAGAACTATGTTATTTATTCACCACATGTTTACTGAATGCCTCCAATGTGCCAAGCATTGTTTTAGTTGCTAGGGATATAGCAGTGAATAAAACGAAGTACCCTGTTCTCAACAAATTTACATTTTTGAGGACAGAATTCATTTGATAACTAAGGATTGAAATAACAAGGCGCAAAAGAAAGACTTATTCAAGATATAATTAGAACTTTTAATTTCAAAGCTTAAATTGAGATTTGTTGGAAAATGGTTTACTTTATATTTGTCTTTAGTTTGTTCTTTCCAAACTGAATATTCCTAGTTTTTTAAAATCTATTCGAGAATTTTAAATAACATGTTCCTGGTCAATCTCCAGTTCTCTTACGTCTTTTTTCCTTAGTTTTATTTAAATTTTAAAAAATAAGTGGCATTCACCTGGTACAATATTTTAAAAATTCAAATGAGATAAAGAGAAGTCTCCCTAATAATTCTATCCTAGCCTTTAGATCTCTTCCCCAGGGCTACTAATGCATATGCATAACATTTTCTGCATATGTAGAAAAGTACTATGCTCTTTTATCCCCCTTTTTGCATATTTTAAAGTTACCATGTTTGATTTTTTTTCATAATTGAACTTAGGTATTAAGTGTTGGATAACTTGGGAATTTGTATATGAAGAGCCTACTCATTCATTTTATAGTTCCATAGTATTCAAAGTTTGGATTTACCAGAATTTACCTAACCTCTGATGGATATTTATGCTGTTTTCAACATTTTGCTTTGTAAAAATATACTTTTATGAACAATCTTGTATACACATATATATGTATGTATATTCCTAGTAGAATTTCTGGATCAAAGGGTAAGTGTTTTATAATTGTGATTTTTGTCAAATTGTTTTCCAAAGAGGTTGTAACAATTTACATGTTGGTTAGTGTTATAAATTGGTATTTCCCTACATCAGGACTAACACAAACTATTATCAAATTTTTTGTTCATTGCCAATATAATGATGAAATATGGCATTTTACTGCTTTAATTGTCACTACTTTTATTATTGGTGAGGTTAAGCGTCTTTTTCTAGACTTAAGAGCCATCTGTATTTCATTTTCGGTGAAGACACCATTAAAATACTTTGCCCATTTCTCATTAGGGTTGTCAACTTGCTTTTTAAAATTCATTTGGGGGACCTGATAAAATATTTGGAAAATTGGCCCCTTGTCTGTGATGCAAATTGTAAATTTCCCCCCACTTGTCTTTACTCTGCTTTTGGTATTTTTTGCTTTGTAGAAAATTAAGATTTTTAGCCCTAGCCGAGTGTTGGCCTGCAGACTGAAGGGGTCCCTGGTTTGATTCCAGTCAAGGCACATACCAGGTTGTGGGCTCGATCCCCAGTAGGGGGTGTGCAGGAGGCAGCCAACCAATGATTCTCTCTCATCATTGATGTTTCTATCTATCTCTCTCCCTCTCCCGTCCTCTCTGAAATCAATAAAAATATACATTTTAAAAATTATGATCTTTAAAAGTCCTTTCTAGGTCTCTTAGTATTTTTATGGTTGGTTATTCATTTTTTTGTTTGTTTTATACTTAAGTCTTTGATTCACAACATTCTGTTGTGAGAAATGGATCTGCCCCCCCCCACCCACCCACCCACACACACATACATGGCTACCCAGTTCCCCCTACTTATTTAAACGTATCTTAATGATAAATCCTTGTATCAATTAGGTACATATCTGGACTTTTTATTATTTTTTACTGATTACATATATATGAGTCACTTCTATTCCATGTTATTTATTGCAGTTTTATTCTCATGATGTTGAGTCTTTGTCATAGTCATTACAGTGTTTGCCAGTCCTTGTTAATGAGATGTGAGGAGAATTGGTATGTGTCACTTCTGTGCTGAGCATTGTCAGTCTGACACCCTCCAGAGTCTCGTTTTCCTCTGCCACGATAACCTACGATGTTTAAGATGATAGCTGTTTTTATAGCCTGTGTTCTTAAGAGTATACAACGAAGCTCTCCCTGCTGAGCCCTGGTGGATTTGTAGTATGAACAACAAGTAAAATTTTCTTTTTAGCCACTAAGATTTGGGGTTGTTAAAACAGCAAATCTAGCTTATCTTTACTAACACTGTCTTCCTATCCAAGAATATGGTATACCTCCCTTTTTGTTCAGGTATGTGTGTGTCCTTCTGGAAAAGGTTTTTGTATAACTCTTCCATAAGTGTATATCCTGGTAGTTGTGTTTTTTAGAAAATATTTTTATTGATTTCAGAGAGGAAGGGAGAGGGGAGATAGAAACATCAATGATGAGAATCACTGATTGGCTGCCTTCTGCACACCTCCCACTGGGGATCAAGCCCACAACCAGGGCATATGCCCTGATCAGGAATAGAACCATGACCTCTGGTTCATAGGTCGATGCTCATCCATGCCAGCTGGGCAGTTTTTATTTTTGTGGTTACTATTGTAAATGGACTCTCTCTTTCTGTGATATCTTCTAACTCATTATTTGTATAAATGAAGGCTAGATTTCTCTATATCAATTTTGTATGCAGCCATTTATGGTATTCAAGCATGTGAAAGTTTTTTAATGGATATTTTTGAGTTCTCCAGGTATATAATCAAAGCACCTACTAATAATAATATTTTACATTTAGATTTGCCAATTTTTAAACATCTAATTTCTGTCTCTTGATTATCTGAATTGGTTAGTATCTCCAGGACTCTGTTAAAAAATATTGGTGATATGGCTACCAGGTCATCTTTATTCATTTGACTGCCCTGAGTAACAGCTATGAGTGCCTTCCTGTAGCCCCATGTTATTTTTCTAAAAAAATTCATATTCAAGTGTGTTTAAAGGATCACTTACATTGATATTCTCTTTTCTGAAAAAGTTGTAAAATATTCTTAACCTAAGTCAATTTCTTCTTTGTTCTTATTTTCTCCATTCTATGTATCTCAGATGGCCAAAATATAAGCCCTTTCATAGCTATTTATTAAAAAAATAACTATAAGCCCTAACTGGTTTGGCTCAGCGGATAGAGCATCGGCCTGCGGACTCAAGGGTCCCAGGTTCGATTCCAGTCAAGGGCATGTACCTTGGTTGCAGGCACATTCCCAGTGGGGAGTGTGCAGGAGGCAGCTGATCGGTGTTTCTCTCTCAGCGATGTTTCTAACTCTCTATCCCTCTCCCTTCCTCTCTGTGAAAAGTCAATAAAATATATTTTTTTTAAAAATAAATAAATAACTATAAATTGGTTAAAAAGATAGTGGCAATGATGAATATTCTATATAATAAAAGGGTAATATGTAAATTGACCCCAACAGTGGAATGGCCAGTTGCTATGACATGCACTGACCACCAGGGGGCAGACGCTTAATGCAGGAGCTGCCCCCTGGTGGTTGGTGTGTTTCCACAGGGGGAGTTCTGCTCAGCTACAAGCTGGGCTGAGGGCTGTGAGTGCAGCAGCAGTGGTGGGAACCTCTCCTGCTTCTGTGGCAGCGCTAGGATGTCCAACTGCGGCTTAGGCCCATTCCCATCAGTCGGACATCCCCCGAGGGCTCCTGGGCTGCCAGAGGGATGTCTGACTGCCAGCTTAGGCTCGATCCCCTGGGGAATAAGCCTAAGCCAGCAGGTTGGACATCCCCTATGGGGTCCTGGACTGTGAGAGGGTGCTGGCCAGGCTGAGGGACCCCCCCCCCCAAATGCACAAATTTTCGTGCACTGGGTCTCTAGTCTT